CTCTAGCCTTGCACTTGAGGGGCTCCTTGTGGTAGAGAGCCTGGTCAACAACTGAACACAAGAGATGGAGAGTAGTAAGGGCTATGGGAGCTCTCAGGATTTTAATTTATCTTTCATCAATATATATTATTTAATTATTTTAAAAATCTGGGTTTAACCAGGAGATGCTGATGACATTCCAATATTCTTTGATTATGGATTAAAAATCTGCTAATTCTGAAGGTGTCAATATGATGGAGATCTCTAGGATGTCCAGGACAGTTCTTGAAAAGTGGCATATCTACTGATGGAAGGGTCAACTCAGGACCTGTCTTTGAAGGAGCATTCCTCTTCTACACATGTGGTCCATCACAAAGAGACCTCACTCTGCCTCCAGGCCTCCTCCAGCCCATTGTCCATCTGGATGTCAGCTCTGTCCTCATAGAAGATAAGTTTTGTCTTGTCGCTCTGCAGTATAAATTGCCTCCCCCCCACCTCCTGCCACAGCCAACATGGCCCACAGGCAGGGCCCTGGCAGTGCTGGGTCTTCATCCTCCTGGCTCTGCTCAAACTGAGTTCCTCACTTGGAACATCTATCCCACCTCTTTTCCTTGTCTAAGCCACTGGCCTTAAGGACAAGCCACTTAAGCCTCAGTCTGGAATTTACATGATCCTTTTCTGTGACCGGCACTGAGGATGTGCTGGTGAATGAGCTCCAAAGAGCTGATTCTGATAACAACGTTAGACATGACTCACACAAGAAAACACTAGGACAAATCATGGTAAATAGTATAAAAGAAATAAGGGCACTGTATGAAAATAAAGGAGATAGCTGTGGTCCATTCCAGGGGTGAGAAGACATTTGCCAGAAGAGTCCTTCAAACTGACAGCTTGCTGATAAGGAAAGGGGGTAGCAATGTTCCCACGCAGCAAGGGTCATGTGTTCTTCAAGGAACAGAGAAGAGGCAAGTGAGCTGGAGCACAAAGACTGAAGAGGGAGGGAAGCAGGGACAAGGGATGGGCTGTACTCGGTCTCATGTATTAGGACCAAGATCTTAGTCTTCATCTTCAGAGCAATGAGAAGCCAGTAGAGAGTTTTATTTAATATAGGAACAACATGCTGATGAGGTGGTAGTGATCACAGTGATGGTGAGAATGGTGAGGAGGAGGAAGATTATGGTGACAGTGATGATGGTAATGATCGCGGTGATAACGAGAATGGCAAAAATGATGCAGGGATGACAGTGATGAAATAAGGACGGGAGAGATGGCGACAGCGATGCTGACATGGTGATAATAATGGTGATGAAGATATGTAGTTTGAAAATGAATAGACAAACAAACAGAAAGCAGAAGCAGACCTATAAATACAGAGAACAAACTGATGGCTGTCAGAGGAAAAGGGGTGGAGGGATGATTGAATGGGTGAAGGGGAGATGGTAACTGGGTATATGGCTTCCAGTTATGGGATGAATAAGTCACAGGGCTGAAAGGCACAGCCAGGGAACTGTCAATGGTGTTGTGACAGCGCTATGTGGTGACAGATGGGGAGCACAGCATGACATACAGACTTGTTGAATCACTATGTTGTACACCTGAAACTAATGTAACACTGTGTGTCAACTATACTCAAAAACCAAACAATAAGTTAAAAAAATGAAACCAAATGTGTAGGCTGAAATGTTGAGGGCAATGATGATGGTGATGAAGAGTCCAGCAGCACGGCCGGCTAGAAAGGCAGAGGCAGGAAGACCATCTGGGATGCTGATGGAGAGAGGCTGGAAACAACACACGATTTGGGGTGAGATACACCTGTGCTCTGCTGTCTATTTTCTGGGTGCCTTTGAGAAAATGCCTTGACCTTGCATGTGCCTCATGTTCCTCACCCTCTAAAGGATTCCTAAAGGAGAAATGATGTCTACAAAAGTGCCTGGCACCCAGGAGGTGCACTGTCAGTTCCCTTTGCTTCTCCTTGACACACAGGCATGCAGCCAGGCCGGTGAAGAGGAGGGCCTGGAGGTGGAGGTTCTCTCCACTGCCTCATTCCTGCAGCCTGGTTGGGTGACACGGCCTGTTGCTAAGGGACATTGTATTGCTGCTAGGAGCCCAGGAGCTCCCGTTTAGATCATTCACTCCAACCTGATAGTCTTGGCTGCTGGCTGCCTGTGGGCACAGCTGTGTGAGGTGGGGGCTCTGCTCGGGGCTACCTCTGCCACTGCCCACTACCAACCCCTGACACCCCTGAGCTTCGTTCTGATACCACAGTGAGTAATTCCTGTTCACTGCCAAGTCTGGGGGACACAGCAGCGGGGCCTCTGCGTGTCTTGGGAAAGACAGCTTCTTACTTGTCCTGAGCCTTCTCACAACGTGACTGTAGGCAAGGCACTTAACCTCTTTTGGCCTCAGTTTCCCACCTGGAATCTGTCTTGCTGGTTCAAGGAGCAATGTGGCGTTCCCGTGTCTTCGTGTGGTAGTCCCTGTATGCAGTAGATGGCCCACAATAAGGATGTGTATGGTCACTGTTAGCTTCTCTCTCCCTTGGGGGGCAGAGTTTAGGGGCCCGTTCCACTTGGTGGTTCGAATCTGTTTGCATCAAGCTTGTCCACAGTTTCAGTTTATCTCCAGCTTCCTGGAGGGTGCCTTCTGGCTGGTCCCTGAACAGGGACAGTCCTAGCATCCTGAGGCTTTTGAAATGCCACACGTGGTGAAGATTTTATTTCCAAAGTAACGTGTAGATTCATTAACCTGTGCTGCTCATTTCCCCTGTATCAGCATGTGGTCTCCTGTGGCACCCACAATGTGTTCAGCCAGGAATGTTCTGACACATACTGAGAGCAGAGAATGGAGTGGGACAGAGCAGTTAAAGGTGGTGGGGCCACTAACCAGGAAGGGTCAGCGCTAGCTCATCCCCACAGCAGTCAGCGCATACTGACCTCCAAGCAAGGCTGATCCCAGGGACCCCACATCCACAGTAGCCTGCATTTTCCCAGGAAGGACACCCTGGGTGACCCCTGGGCAGGTGAAACCGAATGGTGTAAAGAGACTGCTTTATGTATTTTGTAGGTCATAAAATGATTCTCAACAGCAAGGCAGGCTTTTTATTACACTTACCAGTTCATCCATCATGAGATTTACTCACTTTCCATTTCCCTGAAGCTGTTGCCTGTCACTGCTATCAGAAGGATTGAGCTCTCAGCTACGTTTTTACTGAGGGGTTGTCGTTTAACGGATTCCCCTTACACAGGGCATCTGTATTCTAAGACAAGCACCTGCTGAGGGCAAGACTGATAGCGGGGGGCTAGGAAGGGCATTCTGATGGGCTGACAGCAGGGGTAGCCTAACCTCCAGCCCAGCTCTAGGCATGCTGGCTGCCCCTCAAAGTATACCTACAGAGCTCCTGGGGCCAGTGGAAGTAGGAGGGGACACCCTCTGGGGGGCACGGGCCCTGGTAGGGGAGACAGGGTGGCAGGGTCAGCCTTCTGGTATTGCAGTGTCTCTGGAGGAGATGTGCTTTCACAGAACAACCCTTAGATTCTTTACCATATTCTGACTTCAGGAGCAGTGGTTGCTGCTTCTCCTGAAGATGCCGTAACAAACCCTCAAGAAAGGCATGGTCCCTGGGCCGGGGTGAGCCAGGGGTCTCTCCAGGGAGCAGGGCCTTTTGCCAGCTCTGAAGGAAGGAGTGATACTCATGCTCCAGTGAGAAGAATGAGTCTGGGGTCCAACTCGTGAGTTACCATGCCAGATGTCCTGTCTCTCCCAGTGTGATAGCCCCCAGGCTACTCAGTCTACCTGTGTCTCGCTACCTTACCTGCACCCTGGATGTGTTGTGATGGCAAGGCTCAGTCTATGGGGCACACTTAGGAATGAGGCTGCTTGGCAACGAGTGTCAGCACTTTCGTAACTGGATGTAGGCCTCCAGGACAGGTATGTTGTCATCATGGTTCCCCAGTGGGGCCACAGAGACCCAGAGGGGCAAAGTAATTTAGCCAAGCCCACAGTTAATGACAAGAGGCAAAGCCAGGGGGCACCTGGGTGGCTCAGTTGGTTAAGTGACTGCCTTCGGCTCAGGTCATGATCCTGGAGTCCCGGGATCGAGTCCCGCATCGGGCTCCCTGCTCAGCAGGGAGTCTGCTTCTCCCTCTGACCCTCTTCCCTCTCGTGCTCTCTATCTCTCATTCTCTCTCTCTCAAATAAATAAATAAAATCTTAAAAAAAAAAAGAGGCAAAGCCAGGTTTCCTCTGAAGTCTTCAGCTTCCGACACTCCCGAGAAAGAAAAAGGAGGCAAAAGGTGAGTGCCCGTGTAGTCAGAGGGATGAAGCAGGGTTCTGGTGTGTCACTTGCCAGATCTGGCCCAGGTGGCATTCATGATATGAGGCTGGGCCTCTTATGGCTCAATGTCTAAAATTTTTGTCTCCCTTTGATCCTGAGAACATTTTGCCTGTGCACTCCTTCTGCAGTGAGGACAAGGGCGTCTGTGCAGCAGGGAGGACCCAAGCCTCTGGAGAGTGTGGTAAGGTAAGGTCTAGCATGTATTGAGCATTTATCCCAGGCTACACACTGCGCTAAGTATGTTACCTCTAGATTTTTGCAACATTTCCATGAGGTCTGTATGGGCAGCATTCACTTTTCACAGAAAAGCAAACAAATGTAGAGAGCTTCCCAAAGTCTCCGAGCCAGGATCTCAAGAGCAGAAAGCCTGCTCACCTAAGCCAGGTGGGAGACACTTCTCAGGAGATCAGTGACCAGTACACCATGGCAACAGGCTGATGCATTTAGGTGTGCCCATACACATGCGGCCAGGATAGCTGGCAGATGTGCATGCATGTAGGAAGCCCTGTGTGAGCAGAATTTTGCTTTGTTGTTTTATTTTTGTTAAATAGTCATTCCTAAGGTCTGCTCAAGCACAGCATTTCTTCAGAGGAGTAGCACCATCAGAACCCTTGCAGGGGAGATCCACACCCTGGGCAGGTACAGAACCAACCACCTATGGGAAAGCCTGCCATTCCTGCCAGGAAGCATGGGGGATCAGTTGACACCCTGTCGCCTGGACACAACAGCCTGGCCAGCCTCCGACCAGCTCATCAGTGAGCCCCCCTGCATGCCTCAGTTAGCCAGCAACACCTCCTAAGGCTCGGAGACCTGAGCGTGCCTGTCACCATGCTGTGCTGGTTGTTCCTCCCCTCAAGCCTGCTGGCCATAGCCACACTGGCTCAGAGCCCCATGCTGCTGGTAACCATCCTGCAGAGCCAGAGACTTCAGCAAGAGCCCCACTACCTGCTGCTGGCTAACATCCTGCTCTCAGATCTGGCCTACCTTGTCTTCCACATGCTCATCTCCTCCAGCAACCTGGGCAGCTGGGCCCTGGACCACATTCATTGCTTGTGGTGCTCTCACAGTTGCCATCTTCATTGCCTATACCAGCACCATCTTGTCCTTCATGGCCACCGCACTGCACACCTACCTGGCAGTTGCTTATCCTCTGCACTACTTCTCCTTCATGTCCTATGAAGCTGCCCAGAAAGTGGTGGCCCTCATCTGGCTGGTGGCCTGCTTCTTCCCCACATGTCTCATTTGGCTTAGCAAGTGCCAGGATGCTAGGTTAGAGCAAGGGGCCTCATGCATCCTGTAGCTGAGTCTGGGCACTGAGCAAGGCCATGGCCCCCTGGTCACTGTCACCCACATCTGCATTTTATGCATTCTCTTTCTATGCATAGCTTTCATCACCTATTGCTTATGGAGGATCTATGCAGAGACTAGGACTTCAGGCATCTGTGTGCAGGGCTATTCCCGGGCCAGGGGTACCCTGCTTATCCACACAGTGCTAATCATGCTGTATGTTAGCCTAGTTGTGGTGTTTTACCTGGACATCATGCTAACCAAGTACCACCACATTGATGCCGGGACTCATGTGTGGCTTATGGCAGTCAACAGTGAGGCTCATGATGCTTCCTCATGCCATGCTCCCATACCTGTACACACTCCGTTTCCAGCAGTTGCTGGGGATGGTCTGGGGCCACTTCTCATCCAGGAGGCACAGTGACATCTTCACTATTTCTTAGAGCTACAGACTTCACAGTCTAACAGACTAAGGTCAGAAATTATATGTTGGATGCATCAGTAGCCACTTATCACCAATTCCAGAAAACTATGAAATATACTTGTGCAACAGGACCTTTAAGATGACCTCAACTGATGGTTTTCAATATTTCAAAAGTTTTTAAGCAGAGAAAGCTCACTTCTCACTGATGTGGAGATTTTCTACTTGAAAATGGAAGCAAAGAAAAGTGATTCAGCAGAGCTCTGATCAAAGTGGGGGTGAGGCCCTGATCTGTGCCTTTCCAATGGCTTCCACCATATCCTCCTCCACCACTGGCAAACCACTGTTGCTGACAAACACACAGAAGCCAAAACGTTACTAAAAGCTTGAACCTGGAAAGTAAGCAAGGAGATCTGCTGAATCTGGAACCATGAGCCACCATTTTGCCGACTCCTCAGTATGTGGGAGGGCGGAGAATAACCTAGGACACACCTATAGTGGGGGGTGTCATGAAGACATCTATAAAGCTGGAACCACCCTGGGGCACCTGGGTGGCTCAGTCAGTTGGGCATCTGCCTTCAGCTCAAGTCATGGTCCCAGGGTCCTGGGATGGAGTCCCCATGCTGGGCTCCCTGCTCAGTGGGGAATCTGTTTCTCCTTCTCCTCCCTGCTTGTGCTCTCTGTCACTATCTCTGTCTCTCTCAAATAAATAAATAAAAGCTTTAAAATAAATACAAAATTAATTAATTAATTAATTAAAGCTGGAACCCCAAAATATTACAGTCTTAGAACAAGGATAAATGACAACTAACAGAATAGCAAGGGGGCTTTCCTGCCTTGATATTGGTGCTGTGCAGGAGAGGAAGAAAATTCCTCAATAACTCTTAGGTGGAAGCCACCCTTCAAACAGGATTAGAACTAGTTTTAAAACTATTTTTGTGGTTAATAGATCTAATTCTGTGGTTGGCGTGGCTCTTCTGGAGGATTAGAGCTTCAGCTCAGACTTCAAAGAATTTCCATGGTAAAAATACCTCAAAGAAAATGAATTGCACATAGCCAAAATTCACAAAACTACACAAAAGAGTAAGGCACCATGAATGAGAATGAGAAGAAACAAGATAGCAGTAGTATACTGCATCCAGCTCCTTAAACTGTCAGATACTTGGCTAATACAAAAATGTTCAGTATGTTTTAAGACAAGAAAAATGACATGGAAATGTGAATGAGGAGCAACACATTTTAAAAATAATCAAGCAGATTAGGAAAAGAATTAAATAAAACTGTTAGAAATAAAAAGTATAATAATTAGAATAGGAAAAGATGGGTTATATTTAATATGAATTAAAAAGTATATTAGAGGGGTGCCTGGGTGGCTCAGTCAGTTAAGCGTCTGCCTTTGGCTCAGGTCCTGGGGTCCTGGGATTGAGCCCCATGTCCAGTTCCCTGCTCAGCAGGGAGCCTGCTTCTCCCTCACCCTCTGCACCTCCCCCTGCTTGTGCTCTCTCTCGCTATCTCTGTCACAATTTGTCTCTTTCTCTCAAATAAATAAAACCTTTTAAAAAAAAAGTATCTAAGACACAACTGAAGAGGGATTTTGTAAACTAGAAGATGGGTTTAAATAAATTATCTAAAATTCAGCCTAGAAGGACAAAGAGGCAAAAAATACAAAAGAGAGATTAAGAGGTATTGAGTTTAGAATAGAAAAGACTGATATCTAATTTGAGAATACAATAGAGACGATGTGGAAAGGGAAATACTTAAAGAGATAACAGCTGAAAAATTTTCAGATTTATTGAAAGATATCAAACCTCAGATTCAAGAACTCCAACCAGTTACAAATAAGATGAATGACAAATAATCCACCTCAAGTGAATGTGAAACTGCAGGAAACTGAATACAAAGACAAGATATTTAAAGCAGTCAAAGAGACAGAAGAGTAATAATTTAACTAAGAGCTGACTTCTAAAAAAAAAAGCACAAGTCTGATGTAACTGAAATAATATTGTTAATGGAAAAACATTCCATGCTCATGGATTGGAAGAACAAACATTGTGAAGATGTCAATGCTACCTAGAGCAATCTACACATTCAATGCAATCCCTATCAAAATACCATCCACTTTTTTCAAAGAAATGGAACAAATAATCCTAAAATTTGTATGGAACCAGAAAAGACCCCGAATAGCCAGAGGAATGTTGAAAAAGAAAAGCAAAGCTGGTGGCATCACAATTCCGGAGTTCAAGCTCTATTACAAAGCTGTCATCATCAAGACAATATGGTACTGGCATAAAAACAGACACATAGATCAATGGAACAGAATAAAGAGCCCAGAAATGGACCCTCAACTCTATGGTCAAATAACCTTCGACAAAGCAGGAAAGAATGTCCAATGGAAAAAAGAGAGTCTCTTCAACAAATGGTGTTGGGAAAATTGGACAGCCACATGCAGAAGAATGAAACTGGACCATTTCCTTACACCACACACACAAATAGACTCCAAATGTTTGAAAGACCTAAACGTGAGACAGGAGTCCATCAAAATCTTAAAGGAGAACACAGGCAGCAACCTCTTCCACCTCAGCCGCAGCAACTTCTTCCTAGAAACATCGCTAAAGACAAGGGAAGCTGGGGCAAAAACGAACTATTGGGATTTCATCAAGATAAAAAGCTTTTGCACAGCAAAAGAAACAGTCCACAAAACCAAAAGACAACCAACAGAATGGGAGAAGATATTTGCAAATGACATATCAGATAAAGGGCTAGTATCCAAAATCTATAAAGAACTTATGAAACTCAAAACCCAAAGAACAAATGATCCAATCAAGAAATGGGCAGAAGACATGAACAGACATTTCTGCAAAGAAGACATCCAAATGGCCAACAGACACATGAAAAAGTGCTCAACATCGCTCGGCATCAGGGAAATCCAAATCAAAACCTCAACGAGATACCACCTCACACCTGTCAGAATGGCTAAAATTAACAAGTAAGGAAACGACAGATGGTGGGGATGCAGAGAAAGGGGAACCCTCCTACACTGCTGGTGGGAATGCAAGCTGGTGCAGCCACTCTGGAAAACAGTATGGAGTTTCCTCAAAAAGTTGAAAATAGAGCTACCCTATGACCAAGCAATTGCACTACTGGGTATTTACCCCAAAGATACAAATGTAGGGATCTGAAGGGGTATGTGCACCCCGATGTTTATAGCAGCAATGTCCACAATAGCCAAACTATGGAAAGAGCCAAGATGTCCACTGACAGATGAATGGATAAAGAAGAGGTGGTATATATATATATATATATACAATGGAATATTATGCAGCCATCAAAAGGAATGAAATCTTGCCATTTGCAATGATGTGGATGGAACTGGAGGGTATCATGCTGAGTGAAATAAGTTAATCAGAGAAAGAAAGACATGTATCATATGACCTCACTGATATGAGGAATTCTTAATCTCAGTAAACAAACTGAGGGTTGCTGGAGTGGTGGGGGTGGGAAGGATGGGGTGGCTGGGTGATAGACATTGGGGAGGGTATGTGCTATGGTGAGTGCTGTGAATTGTGTAAGACTGTTGAATCACAGACCTGTACCTCTGAAACAAATGATACATTATATGTTAAAAAAAAAAAGAAGAAGAAGATAGCAGGAAGGGAAAAATGAAGGGGGAGAATCGGAAGTGGAGATGAACCATGAGAGACTATGGACTCTGAGAAACAAACTGAGGGTTCTAGAGGGGAGGGGGGTGGGTGGATGGGTTAGCCTGGTGATGGGTATTAAAGAGGGCACATTCTGCATGGAGCACTGGGTGTTATACGCAAACAATGAATCACGGAACACTACATCAAAAACTAATGATGTAATGTATGGTGATTAACATAACATAATAAAAAAAGTGGCGATTAAATAAATACGTTAAGTACATAAAAAGAAAAGAAATAATATTGTTAAAGTGATGAGAGAAAATAACTATTGCCCTGGAATTCTACCTAGGTTTCCCCTATCTCTTCAGATAGGGGAATCTTTTCAGAATCTTTTCACAATCTTTTCAGAAAGCAAAATAAAAACCATTATAGAACACAAAACCAGAAGGACAATATTCCTAACAATACATATTAAAGAAATTTTAAAGGACATATTTCTGGCGGAAGGATAATTATTCCAGATGGAAGAGTTGAAGTGCATGAAAAAAATGGTGAGAATTTTGAAAACTATGTGCACAGGGCCGGAGTTATTATGGCAGACTAGTAGGGACTCTGAACTTGCTTTGAATACAGCTAGATCAACATTCAACTATTTTGAACAACTGGGAAGAGGATCTGGGGATTAAGGAAACAGTCTACATAGTTGGAGGGAGAAAAAGTGGCAGATGTGAGGTTCCAATCCATGGATTGGGGGAGAGGAAAGCTGCGGGGCCCTGAAGGGGATGGAAAGCTTTCACAGAACAAAGTCAGGGAGAGAAAGAAAGTAGGAGAGACCCCAACAGTTAGGGACAGCACAATTAGCCACAGTAAGGAGATTCCAAGGGTTGCATAGGGAGAAATAGCTCCCCTTCCCAGAGGGCATTTAGAAGAGTATATTTAACCTCACAAAGGACAAAAGGCCAGTTGGGAGCCATTGAGTGGCGCTCAACAGCAAGGTAAGAGGTGCTCAACAGCAGGGTCAGAGGTGTGAGCACTGAGGGCAGAAAAACCTCTGAACAACTTCTGTGAGCCACAATAGGCTTAAAGCTCTTGTGCATTGTTGGCTAATTGAACATAATAATAAAAAATTTAAAAAAAGAAAGAAAACTAAAAACAAACAAACAAAAAACTCCTCTGTGTGCAGGATGAGCATCTGCTTTTCTGGGGAAGAACTGAGCAGAAAACAGAGACAGGAGCAGATTGCAGATAACCTGGCTGGGGCTTTTTGCCATCTGCTGCAATAGACTCAAGCCTCTGCAGTGGCTTTTCTGGGGCAGAACGGAGTAGGGAACTGAGTCGAATGCAGACTGCCAATAACCTAGTTCCAGCTTTTGGCTGA